TAAGGTGGAGGGTCAGAGAAAAAGAGGAAGACCCCAAATGAGATAGATTGGCCAAGTGGCAGCATCGATGAACTCAAGTGTGAGGTTGGCCAGGATCGGGCAGTGTTTTGTTCTGCTGTGCATAAGGTTGCTATGACTCGATGGCACCTAACAACAACAACAATATGCATGTCAAAGCTGAACAATGAATAAGGAAGACAAGAGAAGAATTGATGCATTTGAATTATGGTATTGGTGAAGAACATTGAAAGTACCCTAGACTGCCAGGAGAATAAAGAAAGCTGTCTTGAAAGAAAAGTACAGCCCAGATATTCCCTAGATGTCAGGATTGTGAGACTTTGTCTCACATACTTTTGACATATTATCAGAAAGGATCAGTCCCTGGAGAAGGGATGACTAATGCCATCCTTGGTAAAGTAGAGGATAAGCAAAAAAGAGGAAAACCTCCAATGAGATAAATTGTCAAAGTAGCAGCAACAATAGGCTCAAACAACATTTTCCCGATGGCACAGGATCAGGCAGTGTTTCATTCTGTAACACACAGGGTTGTTATAACTTGGAGCCAATTCAAAGGCACCAACAACAACAACAATGAAGGAACCCTGATGGTTCAAACCAACCAGCAGCTATGCAGGAGAAAAGACCTGAGGATCTGCTTCCATAGAGATTAAAAATAAACAAAAACATTGCTGTCAAGTTGATCCTAACTCACAATGACTCTGTGGGACCAGGCAGAACTGCCCCAAAGGGTTTCCAAGGCTGGTGTAATGCTTGTAGGATAAGCACTGGACTACAAACCACAAGGTCAGTGGTTCAAACCCACCAGCAGCTCTTTGGAAACTCTATACATCTGGACAGCACTTACAAAGAACCACAATCTTTATAAAAACAAACTTCCACATCTTTCTCCTGCTGAGTGGCTAGTGAGTTTGAACCACCCACATTTTGGTTAGCAGTATAATGCTTAACCACTGCACCACCAAGACATCTTTCCATAAAGATTACAGCTTAGGAGTCACTATAGAGCATTTGTACTTTGTAATATAGTGTCACTATGGGTTGGAATCAACTCAGTGGTACACATCAATAATATTAACTAATGATGTTGAGCAAATTTTAAAGTGCTTATTGGCCATTTATATATCTTCTTTGGAGAAAAATGTCTATTCAGATTCTTTGCTCTTGCACTCAGTTCAAAACAAAAATTTTTGGGTTTTTTAAAGAAGTAAATATGAAAGAAAACATCTTATAGTTATTGTTGAAAAAAATCCTTTGCTAATTTTTTAATTAGATTATTTGCTTTTTGTAGTTAAATTGTAAGAGTTCTTCATATATTCCTCATGTATCTGGATACTAGATCTTTGTCAGATATTTAATTTGCAAATCATGTTTTCCTATTCTGTAGGTTATCTTTTGCTTCTTGACAATGAAAAGGTTTAATTTATTGATTGTTTATTGCACAACTTTTGCTTTGGATGTTATATTTCTGCAGCTATTGCCTAATCCAAGAACATGAAGATTTACACCAGTGTTTTCTTTAAGAATTTCTAATTTTGTCTCTGATATCCAGATCTTTGATCCAGTTTCAGTTAATTTTTTTTTTTTTTTAATATGGCATAAGGTAGAGGTTTAAATTCATTCTTTTGCATGTGGAAATCCAGTTGTCCCAGCACCATTTGTTTAAAAGACTTTTCTTTCACCTTTGAATGGATCTTGGCACCCAAATTTAAAGTCAATTGACTATAGGTATAGAATTGTTAGTTGACTGTCTTTTTCTTGTAGCACTTTCAAGGTATCATCCCACTGCTTTCTGGCTGTTAATCTTATTGAACATCTCTTGTATGTGGCTGGTCACTTTTCTCTTCCTGCTTTTAAGATTCTCTCTGTCTTTGGTGGTTGACAGTTTCATTTTGACATAAGGAGCTCTGGTAGCGTAGTGGTTACGAATCGGGCTGCGAACCTTAAGGTCAGCGGTTCGAAACTACCAGCCGCTCTGCAGGAGAAAGATGAGGCTTTCTACTCCCGTAAAGATTTACACCCTCGGAAACCCTGTACAGGGTCGCTATGGGTTGGAACCGACTCGACGGCACTTAACAACAACAACAAATGTTGTATATAAGGTCACTATGCTTTGGAACTAAGTAGCACCTATTGATTGAACTGAATGTGTGAATCTCTTTGAGCTTATCTTTCATGAGTTTGTTGAGATTCTTGGATATGCAAATTATGCTTTTTCATCAAATCTGAGGAGATTTCCACCATTATGTCTTCAAATATGTATGTATGTGTGACCTGCTAGATTCCTAGGAATATTTCAGAGCTTTGCACAGTTTCTGAGGACATCTCATTCCCAAGCATTTCTTTTAAACTTTTTTGGCCCCAACTCTTATCCAATGCCTCAGAAGTTAAATAATTGAATTAAATACAAATATTAAATTTTAAAATTACATAAATCATCAAAAAGTTATTTGTAAAACACGTGTTAGTTAGGGTTTTGTGTCAACTTCAGTGGGCCAGGATCTCAGTGGTTACATGTAGTTACCACCTCTATGATGCAATCTGATATGATACAAACAGTCCCGTGATGTGATCTGATCTAATTATACTATGAGTCGCAGATCCTCCTGGTGTAGTGCTGCAGGATAATGCACTGGACCACAAGGTCAGTTTGAGTCACAAGGTTTAAACCCACCAGCCACTTCTCAGAAACCCTATGAGAAACGCTATGAATCAGAACCAACTCGACGGCACTTAACAATAACACTTGATGCCAATGAGGTTGGATGCCACCTACAGGATTAGGTTATATCTTGAGTCAGTGTATTTTGAAATATAAAAGGAGAGAGAAGTAAGCAGAGAAAGGGGAGGAGAGGGGAACTGGGAATGAAGTGTGTCCTTTGGACCTGGAGTCCCTACACTGTGGAGATCCTAGAGCTGGGGAAAGATTGGTTCCAGAACACACAGAGATCTCCAGGGAATGCTGGGCCTATGGGTGCTGAGGTAAGACAAGGACCTTTTCACGGCCGGTACTCAGAACTTGGACTTCTTTCTAGCTTCCAAAACGGAGAGAAAAGATTTCTGTTTGTTGAAGCCATTCACTTGTGGTATGTCAGTTATGGTAGCCCTAGGTAACGAATCATTTTTGACAAATACCCTAGAGAAAAGGAGTTTTCCTGCTGGGGAAGCTCCAAATCTAGTCTAACAAAAACAGCCTTCCAAATGGGCTATTCCAGAGAAACTCAGACAAGTCAAATAATGACAACTATCTGGGGTCCTGGTTTGGCACTGTGGGTTAATGTGCTGGACTGCAAAGTTGTTTGAACTGCAAGGTCGGCAGTTCAAGCTCACTAGCTGCTCCCGGAAAACCCTATACAGCGTTGCTATGGGTGGGAACCAAGTTGACAGCACTTAACAAAAACAGCATCTGGTAATGAGGCTTTGAAGAAGAAGCTCAATCCTTGTTCTGCCCCCTTCCACGGATGCCAGTCAGCTTGTTTACACCTTGATTACAGGCTTTGGTTCCCAGGTTAACCTGAAACTGGAGATACAATAGAGCAAAGTCCTATTCTTAAAAAGTCTTACTCAGGTTCAGCAGTTTTCTTTGAATAAATGCTCTTTAGATTGTCATCAGATTCTAGTTAATTTCGAGAGTTGTGTCAAAATTGTTTCTGACTATTTTGGCCAGTTTTCTGCTTGTTTTTATGGAGAATTTCTGGAGGTTTTCTTTACCCACCACTTTCTGTCACTCACTATACTTTTAATAATTGAAAATAATCTTTGAGAAGACTGTACCTTTGCACATTTTTTTTTCCAGTGATCTGTATAACAGCAGAGGTGGTTGTTGTCAAGTGCCACACAGTCAGCTCCAACTCATAGCAACTCTGTATAGGGTTTCTGAGGAGCAGCTGATGGGTTTGAACTGCCAACCTTGAGGTTAGCAGTCCAGTGCTTATCTTACAGTGCCACACCATTTGGTGGAAAAATCCACACCAAGCAGCATCAATTGAATTCTAGTATTGTGAACATTAGTAATTTTGCTAATATTCACAAAGGCCAGTCTCATGGGGAGAATCTATCTCCTGCCATTTATTCTGCCAATGATTTGTGTGTGCGAAAAAGAAGATTTGTGTGTGTGAAAATTAAAAGATAAATTTTGCCTTCAGAAACATAGTTAGAATGCAGCCATTTCATTCTCTTCCTATTTCTGAGAATATGAGGGTGCAGTGGATTGCTAACTGCAAGATCAGCAGTTCAAACCCACCGGCTGCTCCTCAAAAACCCTGTACGGGATTGATAAGAGTTGGAACCAACATGATGGCCCTAATAAGAACAACAACACATGTGCCTCATAAGATATGGAAAAAGATTAAACTAAGATGTGTGATAGGAAAACCAGAATACCACTTTTCTGTCACAACAACAATGTAAAATAGGTTTTTTTTATTTCAACTTTAACTCTCTGCCAGGCAACAGTAACAAGACTACAATAATTGGTTTTAATTTGTATAATGATAAGATAGGGAAAGCTATGGCTGACTTTTGCTTTGAACGATTAATACTATGTGAAATTGAGTATAACAGTCCTGAAGGCATAAAACAGGAATATGTAACAGCTGCAGTAGAAACAAATGACTTTTTTTCTTCTTCTTCTTCTCAGAAACAACATTCTAGTCATCAGATTGTTCTAGAAATGTTTGATCTCTAGATCTGTGTTTCTCAGAGAGTGGTTCAGGGACATGTATCAGAATATACTTGAAAGGTTTGTTCCAGATGTAGATTTCTATGTTCCACTTTCTGGAACTATGGAATTAGAGTAGTTAGATTTAATGTCTGAGAATAGCTTATTAAAGTTTTGGACAGAGACCGTATATATAATTATAGATAGAGGTTTTAAAACAGTATTAATGTATAATTGACATAAACTGCACATATATTAAAAGTATACAAGTTGGTAAGTTTTAACATACATACACACCTGTGAGAGCAACACCACATAATCAAGAAAATGAGCATACAACTATCTGCCCCAAAAGTTTCTTCAGGCCCCTATGTATTACTTTTCTCCTGGCCTCCCTCAGCCTCCACTGCTCCCCACTCAATCGCTGATCTACTTTCTGTCACTATAGATTAGTTTGCATTTCCTAAAATTCCATAAATAGAATCATATGTTTTGTACTCTTTGGTGGCTTCTCTTTTAGCATAATTGTTTTGAGATTAACCCTGTTGCTTTGAGTATCAATAGTACAGTCCTTTTTATTGCTAAATAGTATTCCATTGTTTGGGATGTATTCCCATTTCTTTATCCATTTACCTGTTAATGAATACTTGGGTTGTTTCTATTTTTTGCCTACTTTGAATATTGCTGCTATGAACATTCATATAGATGGTTTTTTAATAAACATGTGTTTTTATTTCTCTTGGGTATATACCTAAGAGCTTAATGATTCGGTCTTATGGGAAGTATACATTTAACTTTAAGAATTTTCCAAACTGTTTTCTGAAGTGGTTGAGCCATTTACAGTCTTCAGTTTATGGGGCTTATAGTTGGACCATGTTGATCTCTAGTTGTTGAAAAGACAGTTCTTTCTCCACTTGGCCAAATTTTACATGTGAGACTATTTCTGGACTCTCCTGCCCAATTGATCTCTTTGTCTTTACATCGATACCTTGACATTACTGTCTTGAATATTGTAGTTTTATAAGTGTTGAAACCAGGTAATATGAGTCTTCCAACTTTGTTCTTGGCTGTTAGATGACCTATGCATTTTCATCTGTACTTTAGAATCAGCTTGTCAATTTCTATAGAAAAGCTTGCTGAGATTTGATTGGGACAGGGTAAGATCTATAGATCTGTTTGGTGATAATAGACATCTAACAATGTTGAGCTTAGACTACAATTTAAATTTAAACTGGATCCTCCTTATCTGCTCCCACCTAGAAAAAAAAGACAAATGTTTGTTATAAGGATGTAACATTTATTCAGCTAACAGTTCAGAAACACATTTCTCCAGTCTAGAGAAGCAGCAGAACCAAATCCTTGATGTAGTTTAGATGAGAAGAAAAATCCTATGCATATAAAACTTTGGAACTGAAAGACAGACAGGATTGTTCAGTCTGGCTCTTCCCATTTACAGATAAGCAAACACAGGGTCAATTTCACATAACTGCTTGGCAGCGGAACCTGGTCTTCCAAGCCTAGTCTGGTGAAAAGTTACAAGAAGTGATGCTAGGAATGCAGGCTCCCACACTCACCATGTGTGAGTGAGGCAGGAACCAGCCCCCCCCCTCTCCTCTCCCCTCCCCCAGGGTCTGGAGCCTATGAGGAGATAAGACAAACTGCACAGGGTGGAATGCAGCCTCAGGGCATTCAGACAGTGGGAGGAGGTGGATTCCCAAGTTCCAAGAAGGGAATTATCAGAACCACTTTCTAGTACTTTTACAAAGCTCTGTAACGTCCACTGTAAACTCTGTTCATTCTCTGTAACATTCACTGTAAACTCTGTTCATTCTTATACACCCTCACAACAAACTTTAGGGTAGTTGGGGATTGTAACTCTCTGGCCCCTCTGGGCAAGGCCTGTGGGAGCTCAGGGATGCGTGAGTAGAGGGATACAGGCAACAGATAGGGGGTAAACCTACATGTGGAGTTGGCCTTCTGGAAGACAGCCAGGCAGGAGGATCCTCTATACCAAGAACAGCGGAGTCAGAGAGGGTTTGGGCCAGGGACAGAAGAAACACACAGGCCCAGCCAATGGATCCGTCCCATGGGCAATAAAGGGTGGACCCAGGAGCCTTTGAATTGCCTCTAAATGAGCCTATTTAGGTATGATTTGTAGCCTGTTTTGAGAGACTCATGGGTAGAGTGAAAAGGAAAACGAAGTGGAGTAGGGTAGGATTGGGGGACAGGCTACAAATGTCAGACTTGAGAAGTTTGACTTTCATGATATTGTAGGCAATGAGGAGCCATTGGAGATTGAGACCACAGCTGGCATTATTTTTATAGCTAGGATTACATTTGCATAAAGAATGTAATTCTTATCTCTGTCCCAGGGACTCTGGTTTTTTTCCTCACCAAGTCACATGGTTTGGACTGAGGTGGAAACAATGAACACTTTATAGGTGCTTTGCTTGTTCTTGTTGTTGTTGTTAGGTGCCATTGAGTCGATGCCAACTCATAGCAACCTTATGCACAGCAGAACGAAACATATCCATCCATGTGCCTAAAGGGAAGACCAGTTAATACCACTATTATTCAATAGTAGTATTAACTGGTCTTGTTCTTACTTTCATATTAATGAACTCTGGTGGCTCTATAGGATAAGCACTGGACTGCCAACTGCAAGGTCAGCAGTTCAAACCCACCAGCCACTCCACGGGAGAAAGAGGAGGCTTTCTGCTCCCACTTGAGCTTGCTTTAAGTCATAATCAACAAGAAGACAGTGAGTTTTAGTATCAGTGAAGCTACTATCAAAACCTGGATGGACTCAGGAACAGTGCATGCTTGGAACTCTGTAGACTAGGCCAGAAAAGTAGGATAGGATGCCAGGACCAAATGAGCTAGGGAAAAGTCAATTTTGCTGAATTCACAGGAAAATACAACCAAGTATTGTCCTTTGGTGTATATGTGCCTATAATCCATTTGTAAAATCAACTCAAATTGCCTTAAATTGGGAGTGTTAGTGATTTGGCTGAGCATGGTGGCTCCATACGATAAGCACTAGATTGTGAACTACAAGGTTGGAGGTTCAATGCTGCTAGCCTCTGCAGGAGAAAGATGAGGCCTTCTGCTCCTGTGAAGGTTTAAAGTCTTGGAAACTCTATACAGAATCTCTGTGAGTTGGAACCAACTGGAGGGCACTTAACCACAATGGTTTGATTTGGTTTTGATTGCCAGACCAATGGAATCTACAGTTTGAAGCACTTACTAGGTAAATACGGATCTTTTTCTTTTCTTTTTAAAGTGCCAGCTGCTATAGACAATTCATATTGATTCTACCTGATGGTCTTCACTGATTTTTTTTTTTTTAAACATTCAGCTTCTAATAAGGGATTGCCAAAAAAAATAAAAGGCATCAATCCCTTATTCCCACTGCCAGCATAGAGAACATTTCCATTGCTACTTATATTGCCAGCTGAGGTTAGACACAGCATTTTGAAATCTCCCTTAATTGCCCTTCCTTCTGACTGTTTTCTTCAGTTTCCATATGAGAACCACCAATTCGATTCCTATTCTGAGGCTGCCCTGCCTCCCACTTGGTTAAGGAGGCAAATGTACCATCTCTTCCCAGCTCTTGGTTTCCCTCACTCCATCTCAGAAGTCTTCTGACCATCCCCTTTCCTCTCTTCATTCCTTCTTGTCTCAGAAAAAGATGCTCTCACACCTCTTTCCAGGGTTAAGTCCTCATAAGAGCTCCTTATCCCACCCAGTCCTGCCCACTTTGAAACTTTCTGCATCCATCATTCTTCTCTCTGTCCAAGACACTCAGAATGCTTGTTGGACGAACCTCTAGGCTACAAGAGGTTACTAGACTCATTTAGGTTCTAGACTCATTTGGTCTTATTCTGATGGATCCAGCCAAGAAGGCTACTCAAAAAGATGAGTAGAGGTGAGGTTCTGGAAACAACAGAGTCTCTGTCCTCTCTGCACTCATACTCTTATGAAAGGAGCATCTCTATTACAGTGTTTAACATGCTGCATTATAATTTTATGATGTGTTTAGATTGTATTCCCTACCAGACTATGAATCCCTCTAAAACATGAAGATTGCCTTATTTGATTTAGCTTCCCTTCTGGCTTCATATAGTACCTGGCACTCAGTAAATGTTTAATGAATAAACACATGAAAGAACTCATTATGAATAGTCAAATCATGTTAGCAAATACAACCAGAGGCTGACAAGGTTTAACTCAGGGCACAATTTATTCATCTTTGGACCTTCAGTGCCGAGCACAGTATTTATTCATTAAACTAATCCAACCCAAAAGAGTGACTTGAATAGTTGCAATTTCAGGCTAGGAAAGATGGAAGGAGGGAGCTCTAATGAGCCAGTGAACGTTTTAGAGAAATAAAGCTAACCTCCTCTTCCTCATCTCTCCCATTTTAAGATTTGTGTAGCTAGTTAGTAGTGAATTCTTGAATCAGTTAGTGGTGATCCTTGAGTATTAACTGTTGAAGGCCTCTGACTCTGCAGAGCCTGGGGCAGTCTTAGCCTGAAGGAGAAGGAAGATGAAGCAGATCCTTGAAGCAAGTTCCACAGATAACCTGGAGTGAGCCAGCTAGTTGGTATAGGGAAGAATGCAGGTACCATTCTTTCCAGTGGGACAATGTTCAAATATATTTTTCTAAAGACAATGGAGTGGACTTTGTAGTTTAAAAATATGCAAAGAGTTTCCAGCAGTCAGGAGTATGCAGCCCTCAGCACCTGTAGTATTCAAGGTATAAACCAATGGGAGATTGAAGCATGGGAGCAGTGGGTGATACCTGCTGCTTAGAAGCTGGGGAATGCATCGCCTGAGTCTTGCTGTTGTTAAGTGCCAACCTTGTATAGGGTTTCTGAGGCTTTCAGTCTTCAGGGAGCAGAAAGCCTCATTTTTTGCCCATGGAGCAGCTGTCAGGCTTGAACCGCGGACATTGTGGTTCTCATCCAGTGCTTTTTGTATGGAGCCACTGCACTCCCATCTGAGTCTTGCTGTTGTTGTGGAGTGCTGTTGAGTTGGTTTCCACTCCTAGCGACCCTATATAGGGTTTCTGAGGAGTTTGAATTCCTGACCTTGCGGTTCAAACCGACCTTGCAGTCCAGTGCATTAACCCACAGCACCACACCAGGACTCTATCTGAGTCTTAGCCCTTCCTTGATGATGAGTGGGAAAAAGAGTAGAGCATTTTATACCAACTGTTGGTGTTAGAAGGAGCTCTGGTAGTGCAGTGGTTACAAATCTGGCTGCTAACCTCAAGGTCATGGTCAGCAGTTCAAAACTACCAGCTGCTCCGCGGGAGAAAGATGAGGCGTTCTGCTCCCGTAAAGATTTACAGTCTCGGAAACCCTGTACAGGGTCGCTGTAAGTCGGAAACGAATCCACGGCACATAATAACAACAACATTGATGTTAGAAGGGACCCAAATGGCACAGTGGCACAGTGGTAAGTATTCGGTTGCCTTATTTGATTTGATGGTTGGTGGTTCAAATCCACCAGCTGTTCCATGGGAGAAAGATGTGGCAGTCTGCTTACATAATGGTTGTTGTTATTGGTGGTGGTGGTGGTGGTGGTGATGTGCTGTGGAATTGGTTTCATGGCAACCCTGTATAAGGTTTCCGAGGTTGTAAATCTTTTACAGGATCAAAAAGCCTCATCTTTCTCCTGCAGAACCACTGGTAATTTCGAACTGCTGATCGTGAGATTAGCAGCACAACCCATAGCCACTGCGCTCCCAGAGCTCCTTGTGTACAGCCTTGGGAACCCTATGGGTCAGTGCTACTCTCTCCTATAGGGTCTCTGGGAGTAGGAAATGACTAGACATCAGTTTTTGACTAGAGTCGTTTTGGACTCATAGCAGCCCCTTAGGACAAGAGTAGAACTGCCCCATTAGGTTTTCTAGCTTGTAATCTTTGTAGGAGCAGCTCACTCAAACTTTGTCCTGGGTAGGTTCAAACCTCCAACTTTTCAGCATTTAACCATTTGCACCAGCAGGCTTCCTTATTTATATTATTCAGGATGAAACCAATTTTCTGTTAGTTAGTGCAGAATTTAAAGAGCAGATGTCTCACCTGGAAAGGAACTCCCTCTCAGAAGAACTGTCTCCTTAAGCAACATGGAGGGACAGAGCACAACCAGAATGTCTGTACTTTGGGATAAGGACACTGGGTGATGGCATTGATTTTCTGATCTATCATAGCTTGGAGTCCTGGTGTGATGCTGTAGGATAACACTCGACCACAAGGTCGGAGGTTCAAACTCACCAGCCACTCCTCAGAAACCTTATACAGGGTCACTGTGGGTTGGAACCGACCCAATGGCACTTAACAATTGTAGCTTAGTGGTTACAATTAGGGCTGCTAACCTCAAGGTCAGCAGTTCGAAACTACCAGCAATTCCATGAGAGAAAGATGAGGCCTTCTACCCCTATAAAGATTGACAGCCCCAGAAACCCTATACAGGGTCACTATGAGTCAGAATCAACTGCATGGCCCATAACCACCACCATCTAGGATTTATGGGATTTCACCTCCTCCCAAAGCTTTCCATGAAAAGGGTAGAAGCACTCTTTCCAAGAACTTCAATACAAAATTTCAGCTCTGACCTCTTTGTACTTCACTTTTCCTGTAGGCAGAATTAGGTGTGGGATCAAAAAGAAAAAGAGGTGCAGGGCCATTTTTATATTATGTATTTTAATAACATTATAGTAGATTATGTGTTGATGGGGCTTTGAATATGCTGTTTCTGTTGTCATCTTTCCTTGATTTGACTATTTAAATAAAAGACGATCTTTTCCAAAAGATCTTCTACTTTATGCTTTTACAAAACACTGCCGTAATGAAAGCATTGGGAATTCAGTATTTGAGGTTTGAGTTTTAGACCCAAATCATGAGATTATGTTGGTAAAGCATAAAGTATCTCTTCAAGCACCTATTTTATTTGGGAAAGGCCTCTGGAAGGAATTTTAAAGTGCATTTATTGAGCACCAATAAAGCACGAAAAGTCATTAAACAACACAACATAGATCTCTGCACTTCAGAACAAGGTTAAATAATTAGTATGTTTCCTCCTCAGGAAATTTCTAGACCCTTGGAGGCTAGTGAGCATGAAGTGGCAAATTAAACAGGAAAATGGTCACATGATTAAGAAATGAGATATTCTATCTTGGCCAACAAATATGAAGCGGCTTTAAAAATTTTGTGGGAAAATTCTATTATTTTTGAATTCCATTTTTTTCACAAACTCTTTGAAGCCCCCTGGTGTTAATAGCAATATAATTTATTAAGGTCATGACTCAGTTGGAGTGTTATTACAATAATGACTTCATTGTGGTGGTCTGGATCCGAACCTGAAGTATCTCTGAGGTACACGGGAGCTTCAGAAAGTTAATGGGAAAATTTCATCAATTCCATTTTTCCATGAACCTTTTGAAGTTCCCTTGTGTGAAAATTAGTATGGTAAAAACTATTGTCACCCCATCTAGTTGGTGCATCCATTTTCCAGCTGCTATGAGGTTAGCTGTAAACACCTCATAGGTGGGTCCTACTGATAATGGCTCTCAGAAAATGCCTGAGACATTGTCCATAGGGCAGCTTACCACCAGCCAGTGACAAATGGACAAAAAACAGACCTTCTGTGTCAAGAAGAGACAATGTCATACTCCGGAGTTTCCCAGGGGATCAGACTAGCCTTCAACCAACCCCACATCTATGTCTGGCTTCTTCCCTACCCATCTTCTGCCCTCACTACTTACAAATTCCACCTGAAAGTCTTCTCTCAGTAACTCGCATGCATCATCTGCTACTAGAGAGTTTCACCTGTGAGAGTTAGTGCCAAGAGAGGTCCTAGAAAGATCAGGATTCTGCTACTGGGTTCCTTGCTGACCAAATACAGTGATGGACCCCATCACTGTTGGTAGGTGGGATATTGGTAGTCCTAAGCCTTGGTTTGTGGTAGTAGTTTGATTGTGAAGACTTTCATCTGTGGTGAACTGGGGACATTTACAGGTTGACACATAGTAGCTGGTGCAACGTCTCTAGTGCCTAAGAGGTTTGGGGGAAATATGAAGGTGAGTGAAAAATTATCCACACCCTGTAGAATTTATTTTAATCAACTTTTAGAAAAGACAAACACATCACTTTTCGACATAATCTCCTTGCTTTTCAATACACCTTGTCCATCTGTCAACAAGCTCTTCCATATTCCCTTACTGAAAATGTTTTAGGCTGAGCTGCAAGCCACAAATGCACCACTGTCTTCACTTCTTCATCAGAGGGGAATCTTCGTCCTCAAAGGGCTGCTTTCAGGGGACCAAAGAGGTGAAAGTCCAGTGGAGCAAGATCAGGACTATAGGGAGGATCTTTAACACCTCAAAGCAAAGGATATGAGCAGAGGTGTATGGATGTGTTTAATCCAAAATTTAGACTTCAGCTCTTCAGTCTCACTGTAACAAGCACTGTTGACTATTGAACCTTCTTCCTGATAGTGTTCCAATACTGGCCCTTGAAAATCCCAGAAAACTGTAAGCATCAATTTTCCAGCTGATGATTGACTGTTGAACTTTTCTTGGTGGGCAGTTGAGGATATTTGCGCTCTATATGCCACTATTTACTCTCAGGCTCATAGTGATGAATCCATGTCTTGTTACCAGTAACAATGATTTTTAAAGAAACTTTAATCTTCCTTTTGGTTGCAGATGTCCAAACACTTTTGTTTATACTCTTCCATGAGTTGCTTTGGTACCCATCTTGCACAAACTTTTCGAAACCCAAGTCTGTCGTGGATTATTTCATAGGCAGATCCACAGCTGATTTGCAAATGATTTGCCACATAATCCCCTGTCACTCATCTGCTCGACAAAATCATTTCATGTGCATGTTCAGTGTTGTCATCAGTCATGGACATGGACGGGTGTTTTAGTATAACCAAAATGTGGATAATTTTGACTCACTCTCATAGTAACCATCGGGACAATGAAATTAGGAGGCTGTTGCTACACACCATTGACATTCAGAAGTGTAAAAGCGTCCGGCTCAGATCTACTAATTAGAGTGTGAGAGTCAGGCCTCCTTGCCAATGTTTGGACTCATTTCCTACAGCAGACTTAACTGCAGTTAGGAGGGCAGAACTTGAGAGAAGGCAAGTCTCATGTAATTTAAAATTATAGCCAGTGCCTGGGCATTTTGGATTCCTAGTGCCCAGTGGATTGCTAGCCACAAGGTCGGCAGTTTACGTCCACCAGCAGGAGAACGATGAGGCTTTCTGCTCCTATAAAGATTCACAGTCTCGGAAACCCTATACAGGGTCGCTCTGAGCCAGAATTAACTGGTTGGCAGTAGGTTTAGTTCTTGTAAGTCAGCAGACAAAGTCAGGCCCTGATAGGGAAGATATGGGATCCTGAAACTTAGGGTGAGGCTATCTGAGTATAAGCCCTTGAACCTCCTGGACTGGTAACAGTGATCCATTTCCCCTTCCCATCCCTGAAACGATGCCAAAGCTGCGTATGAGGCATATAAGTCAACGTTTGCCCTTCTCAGAATAGGTCCTTACTTCCCCTCCTGACCCTCTACCATACTAGTTGTTGTGGTTAAGTGCCATTAAATCGGTTCTGACTCATAGCAACCCTATATAGGGTTTCCGAGGAACAGCTGGTGAGTTTGAAACACTGACTTTTGGTTCAAAAAGGTTCAAATGACCTTGCTATCCAGTGTTTATCCTTAAGTGCCATACCAGAATCATACC